TGGCTGCTTGGTTATTATCGGTGAACATAGGCTATAATGGTCGATCACGACTTGAGGCCTTGTATGATCAGAGTGGTGTTTTCTTTTTTTGTGGTCTTCGGTGTGTGTGTGTGTGTGAGAGAGAGAGAGAGAACCAGCATGTGTTTGTACTCAGCTGCACTCATATCTCGTTTCGTGTAATTGCATTGCTTGTTTTTAAAGGACACAGTGGTTTGTTTTGGTACAAGGAGATTGTGGGAACAGCGGGCAAAAAGTTTAAATATATTTTATACAGGTGTTACTTGGTGTGTCTGATGTGAGCCGAACTAGAGAATTGTTGTTTCATTTTCCTAACAAGTCTTTAGTCTTGCTTTGGCACGTATTAATAATGCCTGATAAGCAAAACATCTTTAAATTGTCAGATTTATGAATGGACGTTGGTGGCTCGATGCTCTCCTAGGAAAAAGGGATTATCTCTTATGAATACAGCACTCATTATTGTGAAATGTATTCACAGGGAGTCTGAATGACACAATGCAACACATATTTGAGTGTGATTACATTCACGTTACTGATCGATGGCTGTTACATTTGGTGTGTGGGCTACTATATGCAGGCCTCAGCTGTTCTTTTCCTGAAGCGCACCTTGTCCACACAGTTTTTTTGGATGTGGCCTTCCTCAGGGGTAATACTGACACCTCGCCGCTTGTCTGCGCACTCAAGTTCAACTTCATCCCATACAGACTTACAATATAGAAGAAAGTTGCCATGCTGGGTTTCTTGCCCTTGTAAATGTGGGACAAATGTGATTTAAAACTTGACTTGCTCCTGGAGAAAACAGCTTCTCAGATCATATGTAGGTTATTAGGATGTGAGTGGTGCAATATATTCTGATAAATGTCAATATAGTAATTTTATTACATGGTTATAACATTTGTTAATGTAATGTAATGTTATACCTACATTGTTTTAGAAAGATAAAGATGCACTAATCGTATTTATTATTCGAAACAGTAAAGTATGTTTATTTAGTCACTATAGTTAACTTCCCAATGCTGAAACAATTAGTATATGAATAATTAAATGGATCAATAGAAAAATGACTTGCAACTATTTTGATTATTGATCATTTAAGTAATGTTTCAAGGAAAAACATTTGTAGATTCATTGCTTTTCCTTATCTTAAATTATAGTCTTACTGAATGACATTTAAGCTTCGGACCACTGGTTACACAAACCAAGCAAATTGAATAAGACACAACATTATTTTGATAAAAAATTAATCAATTAATCAATGAAATCATCAGCAGCATATGCAGCCCCATATAAAAAAAATGTATGTTTCCTTTTCACAACGGTAAAATAAGTAAAGTGTATAAAATATCTTTATAGAGCTATTGTTTATTCCTGGACTATAAACCCAGTGTAGCACTTAGCCACTAAAATGATGCACAGGGCTAAAAATGCATTGTGAAAGTATATTTTTCGTCAGTGTGTGTTGACTTTAGAGCGAGAGAGAGAAAAAGCACTGACACTGTACCGGAAAAGGAAGGAGGAAACTATTCCCCGACACACACACCCACAGTGTATTATCATGAGCTACTTCTTGTAGAGACTGTTTGCCCACATTTGCTTGATTCACATCCAGACTTGACAATTGGCAGAGCTTGAATAGAGCTGCTCACAGGCTTGGATGGCCTAGTTGAATTTCATAGATCGATGGCGAGGAGGCAGCGAGGACACTGAAATCTCTCTTTTAACATTTTCACCTCATGTTGTGTTGTTGACAGTGATCTTGCTAATGTAACTTATGGTGGAGGGACGGCTTTAATGGCACCTGTAAAATCACTGCTATTCAGATATATTGTTTGTGACTTTGTTAGTGAAGCTGACAGCAATTTTGATTATCATTTTTAGGCTGCAGCTATTATTGATTCATCTGAAGATTAATATTTGTGTGAGTGTGGAAATCACAATTTTGCAGAGCCAAACATATTAACTGTACTCAGACTAGTAGAAGAAAAGCTCACATTCCTCACATATCAGAAGCAGGAACCAGCAATTTTATGGCCGTTTTTTGGTTGAAAAGTAACCTGGACAGTTATTTGATTATCAAAATAGTTTCTAAGTCATTTTCCGTTGATTAACAAATAGATAAATCGAGTAATTGTTTCATTTTAGGGGCGGCACTAATAATTATTTTGATTGTTGATTAATCAGCAGACTATTCTCTCAATCATTTAATACTTAATTTGTTTCTACAAAATGTCAAAAAAAAAGGGGGGAAAAAAGAAAAATCCATGAATGTAAATGAATGACCAATGAAAAGTAATATATTCAGATTGTTTGCACTATACAGCCAACTGTCCAAAACCTAAAGATATAAAGAAAGAAAAGATATTCAGTTTACAATCATTTAAGACAAGAAAAAAACGGCACATTTTTGCCTGGAAGACAACTTAAAAGATTATTCCATTATTAAAGTAATCACTGATTAATTCTCTGTGATCATTCATCTCCAAATCAAATTACATATCAAGTAAAAGTGCCACATAATAACTGATTCTACCT